GCATTCTCCCTGTGTCTCCATGTGTTTCCTTCCACGGTTCAAAGACGAGCAGTTTGGATGGATTGGCCTGCTAAATCATCCGCAGTATCCTGAGATGTATAGGTTATGTGGACTAACCATGGGAAATGCAGGGTTTTTGGGACACAGCAGGTGAAAGAGTCTGGTGGATAACAAGGTGTAGGACTGGAATGACACAGCAGGCCAAGCAGCATCAGAGAGGCAGGAAAGCTGACATTTCGGGTCTGGACCCTTCTTCAGAAAATGAGAGTCTGGTGGGATGCTTTTCAGAGAGTTAGTGTGGACTTGTTAGGTCGAATGGCCTGTTTCCACACTATCGGGATTCTAATTCTAAGCAAAGGGAGGGCAGGGCTTACTCAGCCTTGGATAGTGCTGTAGAACAGAGACACTTTGGGTTTCAGTTACCTAATTCTTTGAAGTTTGCATTACACGTAGACATAAACATAGGCTCAGACCTTTCAGTACAGGAGTTGGGGCATCTTGTTGAAGTTGTACAAGATGGTGGTGAGGCTTCATCGAGAGTACTGTGTCCAGTTCTGGTCACCCTGCTAAAGGAAGGATATTAGTAAGCTGGAGAGGGTTCAGAAGAGATTTACCAGGATGTTGCTGGGAAAAGAGAAATTGAGTTATGCGGAGAGGCTGAATCGGCTCGGACTTCTTTCTCAGGGCGCAAGAGGTTGAGGTTGAACTTGGAGGTTTATAAAAATCCTGAGGGGTGTCAAATGGCAGGTGTCCTTTCCCTTCGGTGGGGATTTCAAGACGAGGGGGCATTTTTTAAAATCAAATTGAATTACCTTTATTGTCATACATACAAGTATAGTGAAAAGTTTACAAGTTGCCACTTACAGCACCATCTTAAGTACAAAGATACTCAGGTATAACACTACCCAGGGCCCTATCGTTAACTGTACAAGTCCTGCCCTCAAGGGGTAGAGATAAGGTAAATACAGGTATCTTTTCCACAGGGTGGGAGATTTCAAAACTAGAGGGCATTTTTTTTTAAGGCGAGACGAGAAAAACAAAGACATGAAGGGCAACTTTTTTTTGTTACACAGAGAGTGGCTCCTGTGTGGATGCGAATACAATTACAATTTTTAAAAGACATTTGGATAAGTACACGAATAAGATATGTTTAGAGGGATATGGGCTAAGTACAGGCAGGTGGGACTAGTTTAGTTTCAGCACATGGTCGGCATGGACTAGTTTCCATGCTGTATGACTATGACTATGTGATTGAAACTTTCAGAATACTGAGAGGCCTAGACAGATGGACGTGGAGAAAATGTTACAACTAGTCGGAGAGACTAGAACCCAAGGGGACCATCTCACAGTACAGGGACAACCCTTTAGAACTGAGATGAGGAGGGGTTTCTTCAGCCAGAGACTGGTGATTTTGTAAAGCTCACTGCCGTAGAGGGCTGTGGAGTGTCTTTATGACAGAGATAGATAGGTTCTTCATTTGTGAGGGCATCAAGGGTACGGGAGAAAGCAGAAGGCAAGAGAATGGAGCTGAGAAACATGTCAGCCATGATCAAGTGGTGGAACAGAAACTATGGGCCGAATGACCTAATTCTGCTCCTGTATCTTGGTTATTGTGGGTGACTTCAATCTGCACATAGATTGAGCAAGTCAACTCAGTAACGATACCATAGAGGAGAAATTCCAAAAAACCATCTCATACACATTCTCGGATCAATACATTGAGGGCCCAAATGGAGATAGGCCATCTCGACTGCTTATTGTCGAATGGCTGGGAGTGGGTTAGCTCAGTTAACTGGATGGCTGATTTGCGATTCAGAGTGATGCCCACAGCATGTACTCAATTCATATCCTGCCTGAGGTCACCATGAAGATCCCACATTCTTAACCTTGCCCGCCTGAGACATGTTGACCCTCACGTTAAGGCACATTAGCCTTCTCTCTCTCGGTCCCCAAGTGACAGAGCAGTCCTAAGGTCTTCTGAGACTGTGGCAACTTTAATTTCAAAATATTAACTGTGTAATGTGAAGGGAATCATTAGCAATCTAGCCGTGCGAGGCCGCTTGTGGGAGAAAGAAGAACTCAGTGATAAAACGCCTCATTAAGATGGAATGCGACAGAGTTGATTCTGAGACTGGGGGCCAAAATCTAAACAGAGGAAATTACGATGGTATGAGAAGTGATCATGCTACAATAAATTAGGGAATATAACTTTAAAGGAATAACAAACATTTAAAGAGCACTTGGAGGAACTACAACTGTTGTTCTTTCCTGTCAGACACAAAATGAAACAGGAAAGGTGGCCCTGCCATGGCTAACCAGGGACATTAGGGGTCGTACTGGATCCAAGGAAGAGGGGTACAAATTGGCTAAAATGGACAGCAGATCTGAAGACTGGGAGCAGTTCATATTTCACCAAAACAGGACGAAGGGATTGGTTAAGAGGGGAAAAATAAAGAGTAAGAGTAAGTTTCTGGGGTATATACACACAAATTATACAAGTTCCTAAAGATATAATGAAGAGCAAAACAGATTAATGAAAACAAATCCCTTACAATCAGAAACAGGGGTAGTTATAAATGTGGAATAAAGAGATGGCAGACCAATTCACTACATATTTTGGTTCTGTCGTCACAAAGGATTACACCAATAATATCTCTAAAATGCTGGGGAACACATCGGAAGCAGGAACTGAAGGAAATCAGTATGAGTAGGAAAATGGTGTTGGGAGAATTGATGGGATTAAAAGCCAACAAATCCCAGCACCTAGTAATCTACAGCCAGAGGACTTAAACTGGCTTGAGAGATAACAAAAACAAATTGCTGGAAAAGCTCAGCAGGTCTGGCAGCATCTGGGAAGGAGAAAAACAGTTACTGTTTCGAACCGAAACATTAACTCTGTTTTTACCTTCACAGATGCTACCAGACCTGCTGAGCTTTTCCAGCAACTTTGTTTTTAATCCTGATTGACAACATCCGCAGTTCTTGCAGTTTTTATTTGGCCTGAGAAACCGATGTATTCTGAAAATAGGGGCTGGAGTCTAAATAGAGGAAATTGATGGTCATCTTTCAAGATGAACAATTCCTATGGATTGGAGGGTAGCTAAGGTAATGCTACTAGTTAAAAAAGGTTGACAGAAAATATGGAATTATCGACCGGTCAGCCTAACACTGGAAAACTGTGACAGGATTGGACAGAGTTAGTCAGCATGGATTTACAAAAGGGAAATCATGCTGTACAAATCTGCTGGTATGTTTCAAGAATGCAACATTTAGAGTTGATAAGGAGGCAGTGGATGTCATTTACTTGGGATTTGAGAAGA